TTCATAAAAATGTTTACTAAGCACAAAAGTTACTTTAAAAAAAAGCCTCCTGATAATCTCCCTCCTAAAATGATCATCCTCTCTTGTCAGAAGAATGATGAGGAATAGATCTCAACCCCAGAAAAAGTAAGTATTTCTGGTGAGACCAGAAATGCAGCCAAGTGGATCCTGGGAGAAGGTGAGAGCAGACCATGGGGAATGGAGCCCAGAAAGATGACCTTGGCCTTGGAACATAATCCCAGAGGGAAAGAGGGACACTCCTCCGGTTCAGGGCTGTTCAGAGGTGGCAGAGCCTTGCTGTGTGGTTTCCAGGTTCTCAGTCTGAGGCTGTGAACTGCTACCCCACAAACAACACAGCCTCACGGCCAGGGGCCTGCTTCTGTCGCCTTAGGGAGACAGAACTAGAGCATTTTAGAGATGGAGAAGATCAACATCTTCATTCTACCAACGAGGAGACTCAGGATCAAGGAGGCAGAGTGAAATCTCATGGGACTAATGAACGGCAAAGCCTGTTCTCAAACTCCTGTGTCCTGACTCCTTACCCACCTGCCCCCTCCCTCCCTCAGACAATGGTGAGGCTCTGAGGAGCAGTCACTGCCGACTGCCATTGTTGAGCAATCACTGCGGTCTGTCACAATTATGAAAGGACGCGCTCCCCTTCTGCCTCGGGTGTGCTCGTTTGCTGATTCAAAGCCAGAGAGCTGCAAAAGAAAATCTACATTCATATTGGAGCAATAAATCTTATTTACCGAAACCTACTGTGGGCCAGGCTCCCTGTTAGGCACCAGCACTCATTCTCCTCTTGCAATGCTCACACCCCAGGAGGTGTTTATAACCTCATTTTACTGACAAATGAAGCTTAGAAAGGTGACATAACTTGCTTATGGTCACAACACGAGGTTAAGTGGTGATCCAGGGTTCAGACCAGTTTTTCTAGCTCCTTGATGACACTGCACTTTCTACTACACTACTAGCCCTAGAAGTTCTGCAAAAAGAAGAGCTCTTCATTCATGGATTATGAGAGCTGCATAGGAAGCTTTGCCTAGTGAAGCTATCGGAATCATCATATAAGAAGTACATGGATCGTGAGCAATGGTAAGGAAGCTTCTAAAATCTGGGCATAAACATGAGCCCTTTTAGTTACGTAGCTAAGGAGAGAAGTTTCTTGCAAAATTCTAATTTTTCCTTCTAAGTATCTTTGCTCCACAGATCCTGGATATTCTGCATATTACTCTTCTTTTCTCTTTCCAGCAAAAGCTTAAGTCCCCACAAGCAGAAGAGAAGGACAATGGGAATCTTAACAACACACGGACAGTCACCGACGTAAGAGCCCGTTGACAAGACCGTGGAGAACTTCATTATTCCAGCTCGCAGCCTCTCGCGGCTGGCCAGCCTCCACCTATGCTTTCACCTTCTGGCAACCACCTGCCACCTTTACCTTCTGGAAACATGGGCAAGTGGCCAGCCTGGAGATTTCTGCTCTCTGACTAAACACGAACACCTTTCACCCTCCAGGCTGAGCACAGCCCTGAAGGCCAGGACTCACTGTGGGTTTGGTACTACTGATGTCTCTGCAGTTTGCAATCTTCTGCCTGCAGGGACGCTGGCCTGTTTAAAGCTAGAACATTCCAAAGAACATTCTTAACCAAGAGAAGACCCACGGGGTTGGAGCCTGCTTGCTTGAATATACAGACCAAACAAATAGAAGCACCAGCCAGGCAAACCGGGCATGGTGTGCTCTCAACAAAACACAACCAACTTCAGTCTCCTAGGGACTTTCTGGAGTTTATTTACTGGCAGTTTCAGGTTCTGGGAATACCAAAAAGAATGGGTTCTGCCCCTGAGGAGTTCACAGTCTGGCAGGGGAGACAATATCTTGAAAAGGTTAAGTGTGGTCTTAGGTGGTAAGTGTGAAAACACACAGGTATACCAAATGCTATAAGGAAACAGCACGGAGGAACTGGGAAAGTTTCATCAAAGAAGGGACCATATGAACTGGGTTTATAAGATGGGTTAGCATGTTCAAGGTGAAGAAATGGAGATTCAGGGACATTGCAAGCAGACAGGATAGCATGTTCACAGACTCACATTTATGAAGGGCCCTGCAGTCCAGGGAGTGAAGAGAAGCAATGTTTACATGTGGGGGAGGTGGAAAACCAGTAAAGGAAGCATCTCAGAGACTATTACAAAGGGTCTCTATAGGCATCCAAGAGTCAAAGAAGGTTTTAAACCATGTTTAGCTTTTTTTTTTAAAAGAAAGTCATTCTGGAAGACATGCCAAGTGTGGACAGGAGTCTACATCAGTGCTGTACAAAACAAATAAAAGGCGAGCCACAGGGCCAAACCACATATGTAATTTTAAATTTTCTAGTAGCCACATTTAAGGTAAGAGAAAAAATAAGTGAAATTAATTTAATAATAGATTTTAACCCTCAAATCCAAACCATGATCATTAAACATGTAGTCCATATTTTTAATGTTACAAATGAGATAGTTTACATTCTTTTTTCTCATACTAAGTCTTCTAAATCGGCACATTTACAGCACATCTTCATTTGGATGAGCCACGTTTCAAGTGCTCAAAAGCCAGATGTGGCCAGTGGTTCCATACTGGACAGCATAGCTCTAGATAAACCAAAAACAAGACCTACTTTGGAGGCTGCAGCCAAGAGTCCAAATAAGAGATGATAAAGCTCTGGGCAGATATTTCCTTGGACATACGCTAAATTACCATGGAAATGCAAGTTTACAAACCTATAACTTATTTTTTGTTTTGAATAGGTAATAATTCACACGATTCACAAATAGAAATCATACAGCAGGGGATACAGCAAACAGTGCTGCTCCCACCCTTTTTCTGTCTACCTCGTTCCCCACCCACCCATTAAAGGCAATAATTTTTATTGAGTTTCTCTTGTTTGTTTATCCTTTCAATGTTTCTTGATGCGGATACAAGCAGATATGCATGTAGGCTCATGTTTTGTCCCCTTTCTACAGGTTGCATATTATGTTCTGATCTACACTTGCTTTTTTCATTTAATAACATAAGTTGGAGATCTAAACTGCACAAAGAGTTCCCATGTTCTTTTTAAATGCTGCACCATTTCCAACTGTATGGTTGAGTCATAGTTTATTTCACCAGTCTCCTACTAATGGATATTTGAATCATTTCCAATCTTTTCTATTACAAACAATGGTTACCGCAATAAAAAACTAAATTAAAAAAAAAAACAACAATGGTCTAATGAAAAACCTCCTATAATACGTCACTTTATATGTAGCCAGATGTACCTTCAGGTAAAAATTACCAGACCCAAATCGCCGGGTCAAAGCATAATTGCATTTGCAATCTTGACAGACTGCCAAACTGGCCTTCCGAAGTTGTGCTATTCTGTACTCTCACAAGAAGCACAGTGGCAATTTTTCCACATCTGGCCAACAATGTATAATTGTCACACTTTAGAATTTTTGCCAATGTGATGAAGTGAAGAGCGCCACTTCAGGATAGTTTAAATTTGCTTTTCTCTTATTATGCCCGAGTCTGAAGATCTTAGGTTTATAGACTATCTGTACTTCTTGTTCTATGAATAATGTGTTCACGTCCTTAGCCTGTTTTTCTATTGGTCTGCCAGTCATTTTCTTATTCATTTGTAGGAGCTCTTTATATAGAGAGATAAGCCCTTTGTCCATTGCAAATATTTTTTTCCCTGACTGTCCTTTGTCTTTTGAATTTGCTTATTGTGTTTTTCACCAGGTAAAATTTTTTATCTGAATTTAGTCAAATGTATCAATCTTTTTCTTTTATGGTTTCTGAATTTTGAGTTATAGTTAAAAAGGCCTTCTTACTTTTACCCATGTTTCTTACCCTTAATTTTTCCATGTTTCTTCTAGCCCTTTATTATTTTAAGCAGATATGAATACATACTCAAATTTTGAAATTCTTGTTAAAAATATCATTTCTCACTTTTTCCAACTGAAGTAGAACAGACATTTTATGAATTGCCTTCCTGATTTCTCCCTCCTTTCTTTGTCATAATTGTTTTGAATATCACAATGATCAACATATAAAATGAACTGTTCAAGATGGAGTTTATTTATTTTTAAAATTTTTCTTTTTGAGGAAGATTAGCCTTGAGCTAACATCTGCCACCAATCCTCGTCTTTTTTTTTCGCTAAGGAAGAGTGACCCTGAGCTAATATCTGTGCCCATCTTCCTCTACTTTACATATAGGACGCCTGCTACAGCATGGCTTGATAAGTGGTGCATAGGTCTGTGCCCAAGATCCAAACCGGTGAACCCCGGGCTGCTGAAGCAGAGCATGTGAACTTAACACTATGCCACCAGGCTAGGCCCAAGATGAAGTTTATTTTTAATGGTATGAGTTATAGAACCAACTTCATCTTTCTCCAGATAGCTACCCACTTGGCTCAATACCATATGCTTTTTTAAAAACTTCATCATTAGCCCATTGAAAATACAATTTTTAAATACTTTTCTATTTGTGTAGACAGCAACCTGGATTTTTATAAACTCATGGTTCTAATTCTCTGGTCTAGACACTACAGAGGTAAATACAATTTATGCTACTCAATTATTGATGGGAACTGCCAAGTTTTGCAAAACTGCATTCCTACAGCAATGGTTTTACTCCCACATCATCATCCATATTTTTTAAGCAGATGCTTGACTTGAAGAGATAGACAGACACAAACTGCCACTGAGAAGTTGACAATTTGGAGGCTGCTAAATTATTTTTCACAATTAATTTATTTAAAAGGCAAGTGACACAATACAATTAAATTAAAGTCTGGCAAAACTCCCATTAATGACAGAATGCTGGTTTACCTAAGATCATTTTATATGATTGCCAGTGTAGTAGTCAAAAAACTTCCAAGAAAGAAAGAAAGGAGGGAGAAAACAAGTGATTCAGAAAATATATGGTCCACCGCAGCTGGAAAAGTAAAAAATAGTATTTTTCTGAGTTTTCATAAAGATAAATAAAAATACGGACCACTTCACAAATTTGTCTGTCATCCTTGCACAGGGCCATGCTAATCTTCCCTGCATCATTCCAATTTTAGGATATATACTGCCAAAACAAGCACGAAAAAGGTGTTCTTTAACAAGAATTGAACATACTCAACTATTTCTATTCAAAAGTTTCTAGTAAACTGGAATTAAGGTAAAAATGAGACAGGTATAGTATTCTATGACAAATGTCCTTTTACTCCAATATTAATTCACATCCTCTATATTAGCATCTTTCACATTTTATTCAATCATTGCATATTGTACATATTTCCCTGTCACTTGAGGTTGTAAAATTAGTTCTTATAGTTCAGTTTCTTAGAGAGATTTAAACACACAAACACACACAGTTATGAACAGCATGTCCTTCAAAAATCACAAGGGGATCAGTTCCTATGGGGATGCGCATGCATTAGACACAAATTTCACTTAGGTGATAATAGTACCAGAAAAATAACAATGGCAACAAAACGATCCCATGTAAAAAATAAAGGAAATGTTGATGAAGTGGGTCAGGAGAATCCTGTGGAGTAAAAGCTCCCTCAGACATGACCACAGTGTAGCTTCCAGACCTCTGAGTTGTTTCTGATAGAAACGGAGCTGAAGCAGAAGCCAACAGCCCTGTGAACAAAGAGGCCATGGTCATGCTTCTCTCGGGGTGGTCTCCTCGCAAAACCTGCTGCTTCCCAATCAACCTGCAGACTCATGAGAAGGCCTCTCAAACCTGATCTCCAGCCCTGAAACCATCTCTTGACTTTCAACCTGTTTTCAACTTGCAAGTGCCTAATGGAGGCAATTCACCCCCATATCACACTTAAGCGTCTAAAACCAACCACTTACGCCCACTGACCTTCCCCTCCCACAAAATCCTACCTTGCTTCCCCTATCTATGTCAACAATATTATCATTTTCCAATTTGCCTGGACTCCGTCACACCTTACACCTTAGGCATCTTCTGACTGTTGACACCTGTGATGGCCACTCACCAAGTCTTTCTCTGGGATGTCCCTATCCTGCTCTTCCCTTTTGTTCCAAGGCCACTCATCTATTTCAGACCCTCCTCAGGACCCTGTGCCTACTTCAAAATCTCCTGACTCCCCCAGTTACAAACAATTCTATGTAAAATTGCCATGAACTTTTCCTAGATAGTACTTTCTCCCAGCCTCCAATGTTCCCCATTACTTACATGACAGCCTGAAGTCATGTCACTGATCATTTCATTCATTCAACAAATATTTATGGAGGCCTATTTCTTGCCAGGCACTATTCTAGGTATTTGGGACACATCAATGAACAGACAAAAACTCCTGCTTAATCTATCTCTCCCTGCCCTTCAGCCCACTTCCCCTAGATAACTGTAAACATATCTACAAGCAATTCTACCCCAGCAGCTGTATTCTAGTATATTCACATATTCAATGATGCCTAACAAGCCTCTACTAAGGGTTGGATCCAGTAGTGAGCAAGACAGATGCAGTCTTTCCATTTGTCCCTCTCTGGCCTTCCCTCACCTTCGTGCTTGGAATGCCTTCTCCTTCATCGTCCTCTAAACCCTGCCTGTCCTGCAATATGCAATCCAAACCCTCCCACTTCTGTAAAGACTCCCCTGGGAACCCACGCCCACGGCAGGGACCATCAGCCCCTTTCTGTCTTGCGACATCCCTTATCTTGTAAAGTGTTTGTGGTGTTTTCTTTTCTTTTTTCTTTTTTGTACATTTAATGAAACTGCCTAATCAGAGTAGAGGTCTTTGAGGACCAGATGCTTGTTCTCTTCTTTGCACTAACTCCCTAACAGATTTCCAGAATCACAGAACAGGACAGCCAAAGGAAATCTCTGATATCAGTTCATCAAACACACCTGGCTGCTTGAGAAAGCTGAAGCATAGAGAGGTTAAGTCATAGTATCAAGTGCTAAAAAAAACCCCAGAAAAACAAAAAGTGAATAACTATGAAGGCAAACTGGCAGGCATCCTTCCCTTTGTCCCTTGAGGTGGAGGAAGATGTCTGAACAGCTAGTTGCAAGCAGCTCTTTTCCCCTGGAATCCATGCACATGTTCCCAAGCTTTCTGATGATTTACTGAGAGCTACTGCCCAGCTGAGGCTTAACTAACCTGGAAAACCCACCCCAACTGGAGGATGTGCCCAGTTCTGCACTGTTGGCCTCTTGGCAATTCTCCACTCCTGCAGGTTGCGTAAGACCTCAATGACGCTAAACAACTAAACCCTAAGCCCATAGATTTTCCAGATTCCAGACTGCTCTCCTCTCACTGCCCCCATGAAATTCAGGGCTTCCCTTATCCTGCTATATTAGTGCTTTATCGTCCACTCTGGCCAGGGAGCTGCCCCTGCGGGGAGCCAGGTAACAGCAGGAGCACCTAGGTGGTGGTAAAATGCAGACGTAATTAAAATTATCTACAAACACAAAATAAGAATAACCCTGGGGCTGGCCCCAGTGGCACAGTGGTTAAGTTTGCATGTTCTGCTTTGGCAGCCCAGGGTTTGCCGGTTCGGATCCCAGGTACGGACCTGTGCACCACTTGCCAAGCCATGCTGTGGCAGGCGTCCCACATGTAAAGTAGAGGAAGATGGGCACGGATGTTGGCTCAGGGCCGGTCTTCCTCAGCAAAGAGAGGAGGATTGGTGGTGGATGTTAGCTCAGGGCTAATCTTCCTCAAAAAAAAAATAAAAAGAATAACCCTGTGAGAAGTATAGTTTTAAACAGGATCATAGCATCCAGAAGTCATCTACAAAGCCATGAGATGTAGCATGATATATAAATGCCAGGATTTTTAGCATGAGCTCCATTTCTATTTCCCCACATCCATGTGATTTCTTCCCCGCTATTCATACAAAACCCACGGGGAAAAAATATTTTCATCCCACAACACCTTGTGCCTACTGACAGGGCAAGGGGTGTTCAATAGTGTTTCCTTAATCTCCTAAAAGTGAAAGACCAGTTTATCCTTTGCTTGAGCTGAAAACAGTCAAATTTAACAGAAGCGCAGATGTGCACACGTGGCCAAGGCAGATAAGAGTGTCTCAGGTTTGCACGTTTCTCTGTGGGGCCCAGAAGAACTGACAGTACTTAATTGGCCACCGATTAGGAAGCCCACGTTCACCAAATTAGACTGGAGGTAATTGCCTCTCAGATGTTGTTTTAGGCAGCTGTTCCATTATTCACAGTAAATCTGTGCCCTCAATTTATAATAATCCTTCGATGTTGTCATCTTTTGGTATAGCTGGATGTGAAGCCATCAGTAGCTCTCTCAAGCTGTCTTCGGACCTAGAGGATAGTTTGGTGGCAATTTTCACCTGGGAAGAAAATCTTGGTTTTCAGGATCAACGAATATTCTCTACATTTATGAAAACCTTTGAAAGATAGAGATTCTTACCTAACAGCAGCCAGTAAGTATCCTTGTTTATTTCTATTTAAGTAACCGAATTCTTAAAAGTAGAAAAAAAATTCTAAGCTCCAATTTTAAATCTTCTTCTATCTGATTTTAGCTTCTTTGGGGAAAGAAAGAAAGAAAGATTCATGCCCGAGCCAAAACCGAATGACATGCGAGTCCTTCCGTCAGAGGTACAGCTGCCAGAGTTTTCTCTAATGTGCTCCCAACCTACTGTTGCAGCCTCTCCCCACAGTCCTCCCCTGCAGACAGGACATCTTTCCCCCAGTCAGGACTGCCCACTATGTCCGGAACATGCTCTGCTGCTCAGCTTATGCGATTATCTGAACTTCGCTTGCCAGAACGAGGCCACTGTGACCTAGGTCGGCCTAACAGTAACTGCTGACCCGGACCAGGGACTGGCGTGGTTTCTGGTCTCTCTTGCCTCGAGCTGGGACTGGTTCAGGGAACCAGGGTGAGGCTGGGCCAGCGGGCAGGATTTAAGGGGCCCTCCCAGATCTGCAGAGGAGGAGGAGACACAGGCTGGGGGACCGCTGGGCCTGGGAAGACAGTGCAGCCAGCCCTCCCTTGGTTCACCAGACCTGAACGGTTTAACACTAATGTTTCACTGCTTCTGAGGTTAGGTCAACTCTGGACCATCACCCACCAACATGACCCACTCAGTAACACAGCATTCATTTGTTCATTCATTCATTCATTCTCTATTTAATGAGCCCCTGCATAGGTGTAGGCACATACACCTCAATATGGTGAATCTAGTAAACTCCCAGTTACCTTGACCACACTGAAGGATGAACTTCCATTAACTGGAATGATGGGGTTCCTTCCTATAAGTGACATTTCAGCCACACACCAAATTATGATGTTCTATCTAAAAATGCCTCTCCCTCTTCTCTGCCAGAGGAAATCAGTTAGATTTATACTTAAAGATACAGATGTCACTTCCCTAGGAAGGCTTTTCCAACTCCCCCCACAAGCCCCGTCTTCCTAGAAGGCTTTCCAACCCACATCTCTCATTACATCCTCCTTTACTTTCTCTTTATACCCTCCTTTCCTTTCTTCTCTAGCTACACTGTCCTTTTTTCAGTTCCTGCCTTCCATGTTAAGCTCCTTTCTGCCTCAGGGCCTTTGGACATGCAGTCTGCTCTCCTGAAATGGTCTTACCTATATTCTAACTCATGACCACCTCAGCACCACATCCCCAAATGCCATCCCTTCCTCAAAGTAAGCCTCACCACCCTTCAGATCGCAGTTGAACCAGGAAAGCCATCCCTGATCCCCACCATTATTCACCCTCATAATATCACATGCCTTTCCTTTTCCACACTTACCAGAGCTGTACTGTTAGAATTGTGATATTATTTGATTCAAGTCTATTTCCTTACTACACTATAAGCTCTAGTGCAGAGAGCAGGCTTATTTTTATTTCTCCTTGTAACCATAGTGACTGGCACAGTGGCACATAGTAGGCTTAGTAAGTATTAGCTGAATGAATGAACGACATTTTCTACAGTATTTGTGCCACTGAATTCTAATTGCCCATTTGTGTATTGGCCCCAAAGTCTGGCCCTTGCCAGCTCATCTCAGAGCTAAACTCTTCTCCACAATTCATTTAAAAAGTGAAACGGACATTTATCCCTATCGCCTATACCTCATGTATCCACATCGAG